TCTCATCGTGAGCGCTGAGCGGTAAATCAACATAAGACGGCCTAGACGCGGCTTTGTTCTCCATATTGTGGACTGGGTTCCATATTGTGACTATGAAGGAAGGAGATCGTGTCTTCTTTAGGCACATTGCTGTGGATATTCGCGCAATCTTTTCTTCAACAATTGAACCTTCAAACGCGTATCGAGCTCTGCGTGATCCGATTAACGAGAGTCAAAGTCATTGAGATACTGCAGATCTGTTACAATTATGTAAGAGTTCCTACTCTACTGAGCCGAGACCTAGGAATGTAATGGTACGAGTGGATTGTCAGTAGTACGGGCACGCTTGGGGTGTGATCTGAGCATTGGAACGGAGCACATGCGCAAAACATTCACCAACGCCTGACCTGGGCCTGAAGATCGTGGTGGATGTAGAAAGCAAGGAGGCAGCTCAAGAGCGGAGGGCATTAGCTCCACTAGCTCCAGACCCGCCCAAAAACGTCATAGTCTCAACCAACCAGCGACGACCAGACCAACCAACATAGTACTCGCGAATAGCAGCAACAACTTGAGCAAGACCCTCTCAGATTTTTGGTCACGTCTTCCCTTCTATTACGAAGGTTTCCACACCCATAACCAGAAAACTAGAGATACGCGCAATCCTGCGGTCATGGGCCGCACCGAAAAATCCCAGGGCCTTGCGCCACCCGCCGTGCGCAAAGATATCCGAGCCAAACAAGCGCGGCACGTGGTGAACAAAGTAGTTCCTGCAATATTGGCATCAAATGCAAGAGCTAGGCGAGGTGCGGACGGGAGTGAGCTTATTGCGAACCCGGAGCCGAAGGGCACGGTGGGGCAGGATAGTAAGAGTAGGGTTGGTGCACGTGTTGAGGGTGGTGAAGATACGGGCTATGTGAAGAGGAAGGGTCAAGGGAGGCGGAAGGTCAAAGGTGGGAAAGACGACGTTGAAGAGGAGGAGGCAAGGAACGGTGATGTGGGGAGAGATGCTGGCAAAGGAAGGGGAAAGGGAAGAGGCAAGAAACGTAATGGTTCTCTCGACGAAGGGCTATCAAATCTCAACTTGAATAGTACTGCTACATCAACACCCGAACCATCTAGAAAACCGCGATGCATACGCATGGTAACGACGGATGCTCTCACAGCTGCACATATGCTCGCCAACCCCTCATCATACGATGCCAACACGACCACAATATCAAAGCAGCCGTCGAAGAAACAACCAAACCCATGTATCTTGAACATGGCCTCTCCCCTCCGTCCAGGCGGCGGTCTCCTAACAGGCGCCACTTCTGCCGAAGAGTCCCTTTGCGCACGCACAACTCTGCTTCCTTCACTCAAAGAAACCTTCTACCGCCTCCCCGAATACGGCGGCATATACACACACGACGTGCTCGTTTTCCGCTCTGCTCTCCCTCTTGGCGATAACGCCGGTGAGCTCTCTCCGACTGAGCGCTGGTACATCGACGTCATCAGTGCGGGGATGTTACGATTCCCTGAACTGGAAGGGGAAGAAGAGAAAGAGAAAAGATTGAGCAAGAAAGATAGGGAGATTGTAGAGAGCAAGATCAGGAGTGTATTGAGGATAGCGGAACAAAAGGGGGTTAAAGCGTTAGTGCTTGGGGCCTGGGGCGTTGGAGCGTATGGGAACCCAGTAAAAGATATTGCAGAGGCTTTTGCGAAGGTCTTAGGTTGTGTTAGCTCTCACCCTTCATCTGGAGGCAAGAAGAACAACAAGTTGCCATCGACTGGTGCTGAGACATTTCCATCAATCGAGAACATCATCTTTGCTATTCCCCAACGCAAAGTCGCCAACGATTTCGCAGCTGCGTTCGGCGGCAAGATCGAAGTCGAAGATGGCCCTGGAGCTTCTGGCGACGATAATGACGAAGAAGATGACGAGGAAGATAAGGTAGCGGAAGAGTTGAGGAGCAAGATCCAAGAGATGGACGGACAGATAAGTAAGGTTTGGAACCCGGATCTGAAAGCAAGGCTCGGTACTATCCTGGACGGGTTGAAAGCGCAGTTGAGGGAGAGGGAGGGGACGCCTCGGACGGGTAGTGTGGATGATGAGGAGGAAGATGAGGACGGAGACAAGGACGATGATGAGGATGAGGGAGACCCGGAAGACAGCGATGAGGCAGATGAGGATGAGGATGATCAAGATCCCAATGCGCACAACCAAAGGATACCTGGCAAGAGAAGAGATACAATAGATGACAGCGACGACGATGATGAAGATTAGATGCGCCCGTACGGAGCGGAGTTCTCATCACTAGAGACGATCTTCAAGACGTTGCTACTAAGAATACATTGGTGGGTATCTCAAAACTTCTATGTGCTCGAACTTTTATGTCTATATATAGCAGATTCCAATGCGTCAACACTCAAACGGTTGCACTGGCAGCACTCGGTTCTTCCGGCACAGCTGCTGATTTTGTGTCCTTGGTGCCGTTTGTGGGTGTCTCCTTGTTGGGCTCATCGTCCTCCAACCCCAGCTTCCTGAGGTCCACGGCCAAAGGATCAGACTCGGCTGTGCTTTCTGTAGGGCCTTCGTATCCAGGTGGTGGCAACGCCCATTCAGGCAAGCCAGTCTCATAATCCCACTTCCCTTCCTCACACCTGTATCTGCGCGCGTGCAGGTAGATACCCAACTCGTGTACACCAGGGTCGCTGTACAGGTCTGTATCGCACACTTTGCATTTCTCCCCAGTCATTCGCTCCGCTTTCCGCTTGTTGTATGCATCGACCATCTCGTCGTGGTATGCGACTGCGTCGGCGACTTCCTCCTTGCCCATGCGCGAGAGGCGGGACATGATGTCTTCGTCGTCTTCGTCTTCGGATTGTCCGCGGCCGAGGGCAGGGCCGAACACGCGCTGGTTGGCGTATATGGGATCGTTCGATATGGGATGGCCGAGGAACTGGAGGTGGACGCGCAGCTGGTGGGTGCGGCCTGTTACTGGCATGCAGCGCACGATGGAGTAGCCGCGGAGTTTCTTCCACGGCTGACCGTTGGGGCCTGTTTCTCCAACCTGATTGTCGCCATTGTTCCCGTCGTCTTTAGGTGGGTAGTATGCCAGTCTCTTGAAGACCGTCTTCGCTTCCTTGCCGTTTGCGCGCACGCGGTTCAAACCGAGCTTCGGGCTGATCTGCAGGATAGGCTTCTCGCAGAGGATCTCTCCTTCTGGGAACTCGCCCACCACTCGCGTGATGTACTCCTTCTTGACCGTCCTCCCTCTGATCTGTGCGCTCAACTCCTCTGCCGCCTGCTTGTGCTTGCCAATGAACATGATGCCGCTGGTGAGTCTGTCCAGCCGATTACACGGCAACGGGTTCCAGGTATAGCCACGATCAGCCCTCATGATCTCGATGATGGAGTTGAAGTTGTAGCGGCCGGCGGGGTGTACGGGCATGCCGGCGGGCTTGTTGATGACGATCATGTTGTCGTCTTCGTGGACGATGCCAATGGGCTGCGCGGTGCACGGAGGCTCGTGGCGGTGGAGGGTGTGGGATATGACATCGCCGTTCTTGACTATCGTCTTCGTGCTCGGCACTGGCTGGCCATTGATAACTACGCGACCCTCTTCTATGGCCTGCTTGTAGTACTCGGCGGGCCGGTCGCGGAACTCGCTAGAGAAGATGTCGAGAATTTCCCTGCCCCGCCATCTCTCCTTGCAGAAGGTGTTGTATGTGAAGTGGTAGGGCGTGACCTTGCGCAGGCCATCTTCGAGGTAGTATGGGCGCGGCCAGGGATCGCAGGGCGTGATTGCGACGGCGGGGGGTTCTTTCCAGGGGAATTTGTCGTCGGGCAGGGGCGGGTATTTATCGCGCGGGGGCGAGGGCACTAGGGCCATGGAGGGAGAGCCTGTGCGAGTCTTGGGCACAGGCAGGCGGCCCTTGGAGGCGAGGTATGCGAGGATGCGCGGAGAGGGCGCCAGAATCGCGGGGGAGAGGGGTTGAGGTGCGTGTGGGAGAATTCCATGCTGCGCAAGCCGAGGCTGATGGGTGACGCAGCCAACTAGCCGGCCATCTTCATGTCCGAGACGCGTCTGCCTCCAACACCAACCCCAAGCAGAGACAACATGGCACAGCAGGCATTGAAGTCGCGTACACGGGGCGACTACAAGTTTCAACTCGAATACAGGACAAGATGGTGCGTGTCCCCGCGTGAAGCCCTCCTCGGTACTGACAGTAGGAAGGAGCGACAATGACATGTACCACCACATGAACAACAGCGTCTATTACTATCTGTATGTCTTAAATACCTAGGTATATCACGGGGTAACGATACTGACTATTGGAAGATTCGACTCAGTAGTCAATACATATCTCATCCAGCACTGCTCACTGCATCCGCCTACCTCCCCACAGATCGGCCTCGTCGTACATTCGCACTGCGATTACCTCGCCCCTGTCGAGTTCCCCTCCGTCGTAGACCTCGCGTTACGAGTCAACAAGCTTGGGAAGAGCTCCGTCACGTACGAGATCGGCGTCTTCGAAAGGGGTCAAGACGAGGTCAAGGCCGTCGGCGAGTTCATCCACGTCTTTGTGGACCGCGACAGTCGCCGACCTGGAAAGGATGGTATGAGTGAAGATCTCAAGGCCGGGCTGGAAAAACTGTTGGCAGAGAAGTCGAAGCTTTGATGGATACTGGAATGGGGCTTCGATCTGTGCCCACAACAACACCCACGACCCAGCCATGTTGGCTGTATGGGGACCATTCCTACAGTCCTTGGAAGAGAATCCATCACGATCCGCCATCAACCGGAATCACACCAAGTATCAGCGAAGAGACACAGGCGGGGTATCGGTTAGCCATACTTCGGCAATGTATACCCGATACTCCAATCCTACATTGCGTTCAGTTGTCTCCAGCACTAGAGATGGCGTTGCAAGACATACCTCCTCACACCAAAGTCCAACAGTCCTTGTCGCATCGTATTGCCTTCCCCTTCATTCCACAGCTTTAATTCTGAGCTTGGACACCTCAAAGACACAACACCATGTCCACCTCCGCAATCCAAGGCCCAGGCATCCTCTTCGTCCGCTCCCGCATCTCCCCCTCCGCCCACGACATGCTCTCCGAGCCCACTTTTCTCGCCTGGTACGACAACGAGCACATCCCCGAAGTAGTCTCTACATCCGGGGTCGACTCTGCTTTCCGCTTCATTGATATCCACAAGTCCTCGCCTATTGGTAACGAGCAGGACCCAAAGCCGTTCCTGGCCTGCTATCCCATGGAAGACTTGGCCTTTACGCTGGGTGATGAGTTCAAGAAGATAGGCTTCAAGAGTAGTGCGCTGCCCGGTAGTGGTGTGATTTATGATTTGGCAGATATGGATGTTAGTTACCTGGGTATTGTGGGTAATGCCCCCAAGAGAAAAGAGGGCGAAGAAGGTCGGCCGAAGTATGTGATCACGTCGGGTATCCGACCAGAGAAGCAGCCAGCAGAAGAACAAGTCACTGCGTTCTTCCAAAAGGTATGTAACCCCCGTACCACCCCAGTCATTATTTTATGTAAACTCTATACTGACATTAATATCCTAGCAAACCTCGACGTTCGAAAGGTCACCGCAGTATATGCGTACACTTCGCTTCAAACTCCTCTACGCGAGGACTAATGCGCAGTCTCGCGCTCTCAAGGGCTTGCCAACGACAGATGAACCGCATCCCGAGCCGTCGAAATGGATGGCTATGCATGAATTTGCGGGGTTACCAGATGACAACTTCGTGAAAGCGCTGGATAATGATGCGAGCAAGGCTGCTGAAGAGGGTAGTTGGGGTGAGACGGAGGTTGAGACGTTGGTTTGGAAGCTAGATCGTGTGCATGGAGATGGGAAGTTATTTGAGTAAGATCTCCTCAGTACTGAGTTGTATACGTCAGAGGCTGTTTTTGTACACTGAATGCTTCAGAGATCCTGGAATGTATAGCACACCGAGCACTACAAATGTTCTGTCTTTTCCTTCGAGATACCTCGTCTTTCTTTTACGGTACGAAAAAGTCCGCTCAATGTCCATGTTCATGTCCATGCTCATGCTCATGATCATGTCCATCCCCTTCCTTCTCATCCCACGGATGCCCCTCACCAACACCCTCCCAAGGATCGCCCTTCCACGTCATCCAGGTCTGATGGCCCCTAACATTCGCCTCCAACTCCCCACACCTCCTCTGCTCCCAGCTCTCTTTACCAGCTACAACAGCCCAATGTTTCTGCGCCCTACCCGCCCAGTACTTCGCCCGATCCTCGATTCCGAAACTACTCCACGTGTACGCTAGGATCTCTTCGTACTGGGGTAGTTCGGTTAAGAGACCTTCCTCTTCCAGGTGCTCGATGAGCTTGGGGAGGAGGCCGAGAAGCTGCGGTGAATCTTCTGGGTCGGTGGGTAGAACGGATTTCAGGGCTTTGATCTCTGAGAGGCGGTCGTTGGATGCCATTGTTGCGTCGTCGTCTGCGGTGCATAGAGGGCAGGTGCAGGTGAAACCGAAGTTTGCTTCTATAGACTTCACGCGACGTCGACGAGCACGCTTTTCGAAGCCATCTGTGGAGTAATTAGATACGTCCTTCTGTTGAATTCTTCGGCGGATAGTTACTTACAGCTTCTCGTAATCTCTTCGCCGGGCTTGATGTCCTTGAGAGCGAAGACTTCGAATGAGAGGGTGTAGTCGTCGAAACGCCATAGAGTGTTTGGTCGACAAGCATGATTGATACGCTGTATTGAAGTTAGCATATATTGAAAGGAAAGTCTATCGGTCATGACTTACCGCAGCCTCGGGAATAACTGCCAAAAGCTGGGGCAGCTCATCAACCCATGGCCATTTCACAGCAATGCCGTTCGTCACGACGATGTCTTCGACGGTGCCATCCACATTAACGTCCAATTTCTTGACCATCTCTCTAGTTTTTGTCGGCAACTGATCGACTGCCTGCTTCAAGACGAGCTGTGGCCTCGGCATCTCCGGAATTTCCAGTATCTGCTTAGCGACGAACAGCACAGGAGTCTGCACAATCAAGCTCTCGCCTGGAAAGATCCCGGCGATATCTTTCTTTGCAAACAACCCTTTGCCCTTTTCTCCTGCATATTTTACTTCCCACATACCCATCTCTTCACCCACTTGGCCTTCCATGCCTCCGATGCTCATGCCGAACGTCTCCATCGTTACACTAGCCGCGACCTCGGGGCTCACAACAAAGCTGATTCCGCGACCGTTGTTGTAGTTGGCATTGGTGTAGGCACAGAATGCCTGATGAACATCTGATCCTGTGCTCTCGTTCTCTTTACTGGGTAGTACGATGTCTACGCATGTAGGGTGATGCGTCCATGGAAAGGTATCGGAAGTGTAGCCATCCTGGGCCACGGGACAAACTGTTGAAGGTTTATTGATAAGACCATCTTGAATAACGGGACTGCGTGCTGTGTAGAAAAGTTCCGCCCTGGCAGTTGACGCGCATAGGAGTGCGGTCGAGACAGCGAAATAACTGGGTAGGTGCCGTCGCCGCGGCCATGTTGCTGTGACCATCTTCCAAGCTCTTTACTCTCTTATCTATCTGTCCGAATTGATGCCAAAAGGAAAGAAAAATCAGAGAAGCCAGACGTTTGCATCTTCGACGTCGGAAGAATTAGTCGCGCGAGATAGGAAGCCACGTTTCACGAGTAATCACGAGTAATGATCTCCGAAACCCCTGTTGCTGAAACGTGCTGGCTGCTTGGCGGTTGCGTTGCGCCTGCATCTAGATTGTCTTGGGGATGCATGAGGCCAGTGAGGTTTGGGGCTGTTACCGTCGTTTGATGAGATAGATGATCCGGCAGAGTGGCTGATGTGGGGATGACTAGCTTCAGCGCCGGGAAAGTCGGTTGAATGGCGTACGTGAGCTGTGAGAACATCGCGCCTTCCTACGCTACATAAGCGAGGTCGTCATCCGACGGATCACGACTTTATCGTATGATATTCATGGTATGCTTTGAATCAATTTACTACGGGTGCGATACTTCCAACGGATCCCACGACTGGCAGGGGCAACATGCGCACACTGTGAGACTGCACCTTGAAGGCTGCATTTCAACTAGATCGTGGCTTGCGCAGGCCAAATTTACACCAGAGACGATACCGTGCAGCACCTGCCATTCTGAGTAGAGCAAAACTGCTTTCAAGCCTGATACCAATCGTGAACTCTAACAAGCTTCCAAACTGCTTGCGACACCCGAAGCAAACCCACCTAAGTATAACGCACGAGCTGGAGCGCTGTCCATTCGGAGGAGTCTGAACACGCATTTAGCACCCTCATAATCCACTATGCCATCAAGCGACCCACTTCATGCTCGTATCATAGAGCTCATGGATGTGACCTCTAATCTCACGATCCAAGAGAAAAACCAGCTCGCGAGTAAGTCGTCTAAGCGTTGCGGTCCCCTTCCGCAGACGCCTGCCAAGGTACTACACAAGAACTAACATGACCAGATAACCTACGCTTTCTCATCACCGTTGTTAAAGGGCATGCCGATACCGATCCACTATCTTTGAATCTGGCTCTAGAGTGTAACCGTCAGGGCGGCTTTCGCATGTTCTTCACTCGCGATGACCATTTCATCTTGGGGAGGATCGCGAATACGCGCGACGGGGCATTGGATGGGCTAAGACAGACGGTAGAGGGCTTAATCGATGTATCTAGGACCCGTATCCCTGTTACACTACTGGTTTCCTAAGGCAGCTTACATTCAGAGATAAAAATGCTGAAAAACACTCCTGGTTTAATTGGCACTATCAGACGAACCCTATCACATCAATTCCTACAACTCAGTCTCCCTGCAACCTCGACATGTACTACCCCCGCATCTTGCGCCTGTGATGCTCTACCAAATCATTCTCCAGCACCATAACAGCGTCGAAATGATTCTCCCCGACAGCCTTCGCGATAAACTTCTTCTCTCCCTTCCCATCCACATATAGGCTCGCCTCCACGGAATCTCCGGCTCTACTGCTGACGATCAAGAACTCCTTCTCATCCCCGACCCCGAAATCAGGTTCGTATATGGCGCGACCTAACACCTCATTAGTATCGTCAAACACCGCCAAACTTGGACAAACGCCAAACTCACCGACAGCCATCTTTCCCGCTCTCGCTAGCCAAGCCATAGCGAGCGCCTCTCGCTTATCAGGTACCCTCTCACCCTTCTGCTCCGCTAGGTTTCGTATATCCCGCGCCGTCTCCTCGTCTTCCTTGTCTCTCTCCCACTCCAGCTCGCATTTGATTCTTGGTCTGATGTTCATGCCGCGGTCCATATCGGAAGAATTCCATGTGAAGTGCTCATGTTTCCAGTCGTGTGCTGCTGTTCTGAAAGAGCGGTGTTCGCGGGTGCGAGCGATTTCTGCAGGGTTGTCGACAGCGCGGATGTGCGTGAGATAGTGGCTAGATGACGACGGTGGTAGGACTTTGACGGTGATGTGGTATGTTGGTGCGATCAAGGCTGCGCCGTGGAGTTGTGCAGGGCTGGTTGGCATGATTGCGCTTCGGGTGTTGGGGAATTTGCGGCGATTGGAGATGTCGGGATCTGCTAGTAGTCAAAAGTAGTTGGATTGGTGAGTATTAAAGTCAGAAACTCATAGTAGCCACATAAATAGTCCGCCCAGTCAGTGAATTTCATTCCTACTAGCCGGCTGGTGAAGTGTCGCAAACGCTATGCAAACGCTGCTTCAGCAATGCACAAGCTCGCACTACAGGCCATGTCTGTTTGACAGCTGAAAAGAGCTTCAAGCATCGTGTAGTTTCACATTCCATGTCCCACCTCTTGAAGTTGCGAATCGCGATGCTTGCTTGACAATGATAATTGCGGCGTAGAAAGGAGAGGATCATTTCACGCGACGCGTTATGTGTATTTGACAAAGCAAGTTCTTAGTCAAATACTAGACTGTCTGTAGGGTTGCCTATTGCGGAAAGATACGTCCTACAGTATCTTATATAGAGGATACTCATTCCTCACGGAGTAAAGAAAGTCGTAATGACATATCGTGTAAAGCCGTTGAAAAACGTTCACCAGTTGCGATTCTCAGAACCTACGGGTTATGCCAGTCCCACGACGTGCCATCATCTGAACCAGTACTCACGCCATTGGGAAAAGCTACATGGGGAAACTCCTAGTACCTGCCGCCTGGTGGCGGTTGGCCATACTGCTGCTGACCTGGGTATCCACCGGGGCCTCCTTGGGGCGGTCGCTGCTGACCATACTGACCTGGTGGAGGTGCTTGTTGACCGTAGCCTTGTGGAGGTGCGCCGGGTGGAGCACCGTATCCTTGAGGCGGATGCTGACCAGGTGGAGCACCGTAACCCTGGGGTGGCTGCTGTCCATAGCCTTGCGGCGGCTGTTGACCATAGCCCTGGGGTGGCTGTTGGCCGTAACCTGGAGGAGGTGCGCCATACTGGCCGGGTGGTGCGCCGTAGCCGCCAGGTGCAGGGTTGCTCTTCTCGTCCTTCGAGTCGTAGCTTCGATCAATGGCACCGAGAAGAAGCTTGATGATCCAGAGATCGGGTGTAAGATCGACAGGAGGGTTTGCGCGCATCATCTCTTCCTGTTCGTTCTCGAAGTCTAATTCTGCGTTAGCACAGGTCTAGTTTGGATCGCATGAGACTTACTGGACGTGCAGTCAACCATAGGGCCAACCTCGGGTTCCTCATCGAGTTGACTGAGGAATTTCCTTGCGGTCACATCGTTTCCTACCTGAGCAAACTCGAAAGCGACAGCACCGCGGCCGTAGGGCGTCGACTGGAGCTGTCTGTAAGTCTCCTTGATGACCTTAAAGATCTCGCCGGAAGGCTCTCCCGCTGGCTGCCCATCGGTGATCGCAATGACCAATACTGGCTTTTGCATCTGTCCTGAGCGTGCCTTTGGGAGTACTATCTCCTGGATGACTTTCTTGTCCATAGAGGTACCCATGGGTGTGAGGCCCTTGAAGTTGACGCCACGCATGATCTCTGCGACCTGAGCCTCAGTCGCGACGCCATCTTGAAGAGGTCGACCCTGTTGGTTGCGAGCTCCCGAAAGATCGGTGTTCATGCAGCGGACAGAGATGCCATCGTTGTCAAAGAGAGTTGCAGCGAACGAGACTCGGTCCAAAATAAGGCGCAAATCTGTGATACGGCTGCCTTCCTCTTCGAATTGCATGGATCCACTGTCATCTAATGGGTGTCAGCTTGGTCACGATTCTCGAGCTGAGCAACTTACCGATGTATAGCACGATGTCGTAAAGCGCTAGCTTAACAATGTCATTGGCAATCTCCTTCTGGATCTTCCAGCGCGAGATGACTTGATTGATCTTCGCGGGCGCTTGTTGAGCAATCTGGTCGATATGTTGGCAGATTGGGAAGTTCTGGAGGCCCTTCTCTTGGATGCAGGCTTGCAGAAGCTGCTTGTAGCCCGCGATCTCAGCTGGTCCGGCCTGAACCTGTTGGGGAGGGGGCGGGCCGCCGCCATATCCTCCTTGTGGTGGAGGTGCGCCATACTGGCCCTGCGGAGGCTGTCCTGGTGGTCCACCCTAATATCACGTTAGTCTCTGCATAAATCTGCGCGGAAAGTCACTAGCTCTGCGTCTTTGCTCATACGTGGGTTTGAAAATCGAAAAAATCTAAATTAGTACGAACATTCGGTTGGAAAGTGGGCTGCTGGCCGTAAGGTTGGCCATATTGCTGCGGCGCCTGTCCATAAGCGGGTTGCTGTGGTTGACCCCATTGGCTTTGCTGCTGGTAAGGCTGTTGTGGTGGTTGCTGTCCATACGGCGGCGGGACCTGTGGCTGATTCCATTGCGCGGGGGGCGCTTGACCTGGTTGTGGGGACTGTGGGAATGTCGATTGAGAATACGGAGATGAAGGCTGTTGTCCTGGCGGTGGTGGCGGGGGTCTGCTATACCCTGATTGCCCTTGTGGATACGGAGACGATGCGCCGTAAGGAGTTGGGGCTGCCGGTTGCGCAAAAGGCGACTGCGGCGGCGCATACGAACCAGGACGCGGAGGCATAGGAGGGCCAGGCTGTTGTTGTTGTGCATAAGGATTTGGCGCCTGCCCGGCGTTGGGCTGATAGGCAGTATAGCTAGATGACATCTTGCTTGATAGAGGCATGTGTGGCTAGGTCCAGGAACAAAGTGTGGCGGAAAAAGTCCAGAGTGGATGCCGGGCGTGCGATAATTTATTGGTGCCAAAAGCAAGTGGAGAACTAGGGAAGAGGCTTGCGAATGCCCAGTCTTAAGTGGCGGGTAGGGAAGGGCGATGACGACGCAGAGCAAGTGACAAGAGAAAGAAAGAGCTTTGGGCTTACCCCGGGAGCACCGGCACCTTGGGCACCTGGATACGCTTGATACTGTGGCTGTCCAGGCTACGTTGCATTAGTGAATCATTGCCAACATTACTCTTCACTTGAAGACTTACGTAGCCGCCTTGTCCACCGGGCGGAGGATAGCCAGATGCAGCCTGAGCCGCCTGCATCTTAGATGCGAGCTTCGCCTGGTTAGCTATGACGATGGTGGGGTGGAGGGGTAGCTAAGGAGCTGGCTGATAACATACACCCATCTTGCTATTTGCGTGTAAGGGTTCTGGTACGTGACAGAGGATTGAGAAAGTCGGACAAGGCTGATTCTTGAGATAGGAATTGACAAGGTTGAGATGGAAGGTCAGGTTATAATGTATGCCTTGCGATGTTGGCAAGAGCCGAAGCTGACGCGCTTACCTGCTAAGCCCCCGCCGGTGCACCGACCTAGTCACGTATTGGTTAACGCCACATGGCCATTGTTCATTGCACACCAACACCGTGGCTGTTCGTTATGAAATGTGGGAACGCGTGAGGCTGTGCCTTCGGGTAAAGTGACGAACGAGCGGGGCATCATCAGGCAACCGGATTTTGTACCAAACATTCTTGAGGCATGTGACGCTGCCGGCCAAAGACCCTGCTGCGCCTCTGCTCCATCTGACTGACAGTTACAAGTGCATCTACATTCGTATAGCGCCCGAAGCTTACAAGGCGATTGATGCGCGTGGTGCTCTGAGTTGTGTAGCGTTGTTGCATCTTGACGCGCTCATGTTTAGATCGTTAAAGCACGACAAACGTCCAACTTCTCGACTTACGCCGGTGCATCTTGATACTTCCGCTGCTTCAAGCTGATTTTTCACGGTGTCACTGGCTCAGATTTCTAATTCTGCTTTCTGCTCGACATCTATGGTCTAAGAGTTCAAAGTATGTACAGAACCGCGATACTGCCCATTACCTACCTTCTTTGGTAGTAATTTTAGATCGCTCCAAGCTGGTTTCGAAATAGTTTTCTCTGATACCCACACTAATTTCATAGCCGTCAAGCGTCTCAGGCTCGGTGGATCTCTCACCACGCTCTGCTGCGAGCGCAGCTCCTAGGATCGTACCAAGTTGAGCCTCATCTAGCACGTTCACTCGACGGAAGTCCATCAGACTTGGGAGATTGCAATACCTGAAGCGAATATCCTTGCTTGGAGCTGGGTAACGAAGGCTTCCGTAATTCAAGATAAAAGCAATGCCCTGGACTTCGTATCTTGTCTCAGGTGGGGTGCGGTGGTAGTCTTTGTATACCTCTAACACCAGGGCGTTGTGTAAATGCGTTGCGCCAGCGAAGACTGCAAGTCTTGTGCCCTCGGCCGAGATTTGCTCAGCCGAAAGATACGTTATGGGATGAGTGGCCTCGCCAGTGTTGCCTTTCTCCGCGACTTGCTGCATCGAGGCCCAGCATCCTTGTGTATTCTTGCTGATCGCGCAAGACATTATGTCTGCTATACTGCCATAATTTGTTCGATGGGGTCTGTTGCGTTCAGTCGCTCGATGCTGCGACTGTTCGTTGAGAGCATTGATAAAGGCTCTTTGAGACAAAGCCACGGCGGCTTCACTGGAATTCACCAGCCGGCTACCCAACCAGCGATACTTGAAGAATTCTTTGAACGCAATCATACGTTCCGGTTCTGCTTTAAAAGAGTTTACTGTCCTTTGGACCTCCGGTGGTAAGGAAAGCTGAACCCCTTTCTTAGTATGATACCAGTACTCGTACCGATACGGAAGATAGAGTACGTCTGTAGCGTTGAGGAATTGCAGTGATGCAGTTATCTCAAGTCCTCGAGCGAGTACAAAGCTGCTATCCCTAGTACCTGGTGCCACCTCAAGCGCGTATCTTGCAATCTCTTCACGATCTAGTGCCAACACACGACGGAACAGGTTGAGAAAGTCCCGCTCTTTCCACAGATCCGGCTCTCCACCTGCACATTGGTTTTGCAGAAGCTTTACGAACAGCTGCTTACTTGAAGTGTTGTAATCAGGAACAAGACGATGCGCGGTCTCGTGATCCTGAGATGTAAGACCTAGCAGTGCGTATACTTTATCGTGAATAACGCTGCATCGAGACTCGGAGAATTCCTCGATTAACCACCGGAGTTCGAACTCCAGTGGCCAATCATAACCAGTGCGAAGCGATCGGGATCTCTTAGGGTCTCTATAGGTTCGATATTCTCCCCGAGATATCAGAAGTTTGAGGCCTGGAATATCCGGTTTGTCGTAAACGTACATATAGATCGCGCGGCCCAGCTCATCTGCATTTGCCCGGTACTCGCCTAGCCAGATTTCCAGAGTCGGCGGCAACAATGCTTCCTGGACAACCCACATGCGGCACCAGTATGGCTTCTGGAGAATGTTTATTATGGCCTTCTGGGTCCACTGCCTGCCAGGAT